GTCTTTCAAAAAGTAAATATCATGTTAAATACCGTGTATATATGCGAAATCTGTGAGTAAAGAAACATAAATATGACCATATTTAATACTTGTTTATATTTGTAATGTTTTTTTTATCTTTAGTAATTTTAAGAAGTGGATAGGCTCATTTTTTTTGTATAAAATATCGTAAACCATTCTATTTAATTAAAGTTACCAAACCTACCACCTGGAAAACTAAACTATCACCGAACTGTAACTATAAATTGAACATCAATTTCCAGAGTTAACGGTTGGAAATATAAAAATAAAGTGTTATGGCTAAGTCTGGGGCAGGCTTTTTTTATTGCGGCCCGTCTATATCAATCAATAAAGGTCACCCACCATATTGCCTTTTTTTAGCTTCAAAATGCTCAGTAATATTATATTATATAAGGTAATATTGTATTTTCACTACGATATCGATCTAATCTATTAAATATGCATAGTTAAGTAAAAATAAAAACAACCAAGGCCTGATTCACTAAATTCATAAAACTGAAACCTAATTTAACTATTACGCTGTTTTGTTACTTTCATACAAACTGAGAATTTAATATGAAAGTAAGGGACAAAAAAGTTTAATAAAATAGGATTATGAGACGTTTGACGTTTTTATGATAAAAAGGTATATATAGTGCTGAGTTTCGGTTCGCTCTCGCTCTGGTATTATAGTAGAAATCTGGCGTAAAGTTCTTGGTTTTGGATGCACAATTATTTAGTATTACTGATTTATCTGTAAATATTGTATTTTTAGTGTATCTGAGGATTTTACTTATCATTAGCTGTATCAAATTCACAGAAAACAGGTTAAGTAGGTTTACGGATAAGTAGGTTACAAATATTTGAATAAATTTAAATAAATATCGATAGGATATAATCAAAATGTTACTATTCATTATAAATTAGTACTCAAAGATGTTAGTTTTTACTTGTTTCGCAATTATCATTAAAAACTGTTATATTTTTGCTTACCGTAAATCTTATTTCATTTACGAAAGAGGTGGCGGCCAAAGCCATTCACCACAACACTTGCGGTGAAGTTGGAATTGAAATTGTTTGCCTAATGTTTGTTATTTGCGGAAAATATCTCTGCGGCAACCCAGCCTCAGAGCTTACTATCACAGTGTAAGAAATATGCAGTGATTCAACACCTTCAGTATGTCTCGGACGATTGTTACACGAATGCATTCAACTGCGAATTCCAGACTTACTAGGTTTACCTGCATACAATGTTTATTTTTTAATTACGAACGATAACAAACATATTAATGGAGTCAGTGATTCAACGTCTAGCATTTCTGTAACGATTACTAGACAATTCGAGACGTATTGACGTGTCTATGTCTAGACGTGTGCGTTGGACTACTGATTATGAGAAAAATATACTTTAGACTGTGTCATAATGATTGCATTCATCTGCGAATTCTAGTCTCACTAGGTTTACCAATATAAATTGTTTATTTATTTATTTTTTATATACAACCTATGAATAGCACTAATGAACATTGTAAAGGCATAATTACTTTTCTCTTATATATTAACTATCTCATACCGCGAGTCCCTATATCTTTCATGGTATCTACCGTAACTCGTTAAAAGTTTGCCCTTTTGCAACTTTCATTTAAATTTAAACACATGGTACAAGTTGGAATAAAGTTGGTGCCCTTTAAATTTTAGTGGTCACAACATAGGCAGATAAAGAGAGTAATAATAAAATAGTTGAAAGCCATTGGATCATTTTAATGATAAATACTCTAGATTTGTTTAAGTAGTTTAGATTGATGGGATTTTCTATTATTACAGAATACCTTGTATATAATATATAATACTGCTAGAGTATTATTTATTATTATTATTATTATGTCCCGCTTTTTTTTTATACAGAACTCTATTTTCCATAGATGTAGTATATAAAATGCTCACGTCTCTTTATTTATCTTCATACATCTAAGTTCGCCTTTGTACATTTGATTACCTCTGTCATATTCTTATAACTGGTGTGTACAATAAGGAATTAAATAAAATAAAAAAAAAATCATTTGGCCCCATGTAGCTTGTCATTACTCATAATAATCGGGCATTATATTAAATAAATAATGATGTCATTAATCACTTGATCCATAACATAATATGTTATACATATTATTTGTTCTATTTGCAATCTTGATATTTTCAGACTATTGCTAATATTGATTTAAATTTGTCGAGATCTCGCTGGATTAGACGAACTATCGGGGTTGAACTATTAATCATTCTCGAGAATGAGCGGCACAATCATAATATTTCCTAATTTAGCTCAGCCGTCACCTTCTATTAATAAAGTACTTATAAATAAAAATTATTACTTAATTGTTCTAGATGAAAGGTATTTACTATAATAGAAATGTATACTAAGTGTATACCTTTTTACTATACTGCATTTTTTATTAATTTGTGTGAAGAGAATATAAATAATTCTGTAAGTGACATGATAGGTAAATAAATCGTGTTTACTCGACTACTGAAGAAAAGAGAAAAAGCGTTGAGGATATATGTATTTGTATTTTATTGTATGTGGATTTTTAGGATAAGAAGTCTAAATTGGCTTGACGATCATTTTTCATTTATTAGTCTTTTTGTCCATTGCTGATTTCAATTCATATACTTTTATAATGAGTAAAAATTGCCAGGTATTGGTACGATATTGAGATCGAAAAATGTTTTTGACATTGTTGCCATTTGTGATCGAACGGTCGGTGAAAAATTTAATACAATACCATAGCACAAGTGAAATTTAGCATTCGATTTTTAATTCATGCCAAGTGTCTTGCAGGGTAGGCAAAGAGAACTGATCATCAAAGGCTTTTAGCTGCTGTCGTGTGGTCCCGGCTGATGCAAAGATGATATAATATAGCCTAGAGTATAGATATAGTCTAAATCTCCTCCAGTATCTACTTATATTTATCCACTTTCTCATTGTATATCTGTTTTGTCAACCTTTCATCTGACATTCGTTCTAAATAACTGAACCGAAGTAGCATACCTTACCTTTATTAATTTTTCCACCTGTTTTTTCTTTCAAACTAAATTTGGATTGTTATGATTTTAAATATATGAGTACGTTTTTTTAATGGGTGATAATGAAATGGTAACCCCACCTGCGCTATCGGTACACGCTGGCACCAGTGAGGTATGATAAGTGAGGATGAAAGCAGGTCAGTTAACCCATCGTCATGAATTTTACTAGAAGTAGCCACGAAGGTTTCCAGGGGAACCGGGTGGAGATCGACCTGATAGGGTGTATTGCTGGGAAGTTAGACTTCATTAGTAACAATCTCTTTCCCCCCATATGAGTACGTTAGGTACTTCTACATCTATGGTTACAATAATCACTCCATATATGGGGCCTTTTACACAAATTGTATAATTCAAGAGAGTGCTTACTTTTATTGTGTGTTGCCGAATATCCGTGCTAAGAACAGATAAGGACATAAAACGCGTACCGGCAAGTTACGAGTATGAATGATGACGCTGTAAATATTCGCATTACCGACGGTCCCATACTTTGTATTTAGGTAAATAATATTTTTATTTTTATAAATAAAATTAAGGTTTTATTTTTTACTTGTACCTCCTATTAAAATGTTCAGAAATGATGGTCTGAACTGAGTGCTGGGCGTGATGAAATATGATAATTATGTCCATTATATTTTATATCTGATATATACATTATATATTAAATATTAATATCTCTTAGACTATGCGAATTAGCACATGTCCTATACATCATGAGTTATTAATCTCTTTTTTTTATTTAATGCACTCATAATTTAGTTAAAAACAATCTCACAATTAATGATGTCATTTATTAAAATTTCTACGTTATTTATTTAGCCCTAGTTAAGTTGCGGTCAAAATCCGGATAAGCTATATATAACTTTTACTTGAAAGTTGAGTAAAAATAAGTATTGTTCAATTGTGTTACGTTATTAAGTAGGTACGTTGCAATTACATCGGCATTGAAAGAAAAAAAAATTGTAAAAAGCCGTTACGTAAACGCATACAGTCATGTGTGCGTGACTTTACGCGCCGGTGGCTCCGTCTGTCTTGGCGCAACTCGACAACGGATGCGCTTCCTTTTTCTGATGAATGAACGTACTTACATTATTTCTGTTTAAGTTTATATATGCATAATATATTTGCAATAGTTATATTTTTAGCCGACTTCGAAAAGGAAGTCCGATTCTTAAGTCGATTGTATTTTTTATTATTTTTTTATTTAAGTTATCTCAGTGTTCTAATTTATATTTTATGATTACTACTAAAATTTATTTGATTACAAAAAAAAAATTTAAAAAAATTAATTAAGACAAATGGTGAAATTTTCATGTGCGTATGTTACACATAAAAAATATAATCGAACTAAGCACCTCTCCCGTTTTGAAGTCGGTTAAATATTTTTTAAATAATGTTAGTTCAATAACTAAAGAAGTTTTTAGATCTTAATGTACTCGTACAAAAATGCCATGCCATTATTTTCGTTTACGCCAATATTCGAAATCGCTCAACTGTGTCTAATGAAATTTTGTAAATGTGTCTATAGTTTATTCCGCCTTAAGATATATATTAAAGGGTAGTTTTTATCGCGATAAAAAATAGCCGGCAGGTGATGGAACAAGGCAAAATAACACTATTACAGTTATTATAAAATATAAGCATATACATATAATAAAACTGTAGAAGGTCAAATATCTCTGTACAGAGAAAAAAAACGGTTTGAAGAACAATGAAATTACAGGGTACATAGGCATAACATCTTACTCGTAGTTCTTAAGAGTGGTAAGCCACGAAGAAGGTTATGGGTGGCACAGTATATTCTGTGATGTCCATCTACTGTTCTGTATATAGGTGACGGTTACCACTTCCCGTTAAGTGGGTCGTCAATATGTTTGCTATTCTGAGTTGCATAAAAAATTAATGTAATATCATGTTCATTCCAGGCCTCGCAGACGATCAGGGTCCAGCATAGTGGTGCTTGGTGCTGAAGACGAGAAACGACCACCGCCGGATGACGACGGGGAAATGCTCACTATGCTCTCATTGTCTTCTGACACTGGTCAGTATTTATCTTATATAGTTTGTCTTGTAAACTTAACACAATTGTGGCAAATAAACATATGGCTTGTCTGATAGCAAATTTGTATGGAATTAGTAGAGAATATCGTATGAGTATTGCCAACCCTTAAGAAACCTTGCGTAAATAAGGTTCTAGTTACGATTTTTTGTAGAACTATAAATAATTTATTCTTTTGGTATCCTGATTTTGTATTCGTTTATATTTGAGTATTTTGTACTATACCTCCAACCAGATAAGGTTTCCAATAATACAGAGTATCACAGTTTGAGATGCAAGCAATTGGTGTGCTAGTGTGGAAAGTATTAAAAATAACAAAAAAAAAGATAAGTAGAATAATTATAAATGTATACAATATACCTAATATGTTTAAATTATAGTAACTTTGCACATTAGTCCACGTCATATACTTTTTGTGTCTGTTCCATCGCCAGACAAACGACCTTCTGACAAACAAAAGAGCAAAAACATGGGACGAATTAAAAAACCCTTGATTATAACATGGTGTTAAAGTTGAATATTTTTGTTACTTGACAAGATTAAAGATAATTACTTATTTATTTAAATTGACAAGGTTATCATCTTTTGTTTTGTTAAGAGACAAAAAAGTAATTATTTTTTAAAAAAATGTTTAATTTCAGTATATCATTGAATATATATATATGCTACTTATAAATAATTATCTTTCGAAGCGCTAATTAATCGAGGTAGCGTACTACTAGTATATAGTGTTGTAAATCGTCAAATACATATATAAAGTGATTATTAGAAAGGAAAAATTTATTCAGAGAGAATTGTGTATTTTTATTAGAAAAAGAAGGACAAAAAGACAAATGGTAACATCGAACAAAATTTTAAAATTATGTCAAACTACTAGTATTAACTTTTTGGAATGGTGCTTCAGCAATCGGGTTATTAGTAACCTTTAAAAATATTTACCATTTAGGCCTCAAGAGCCCATCGTAAGAGACAAGATAATTATAAATTTTAAATAATACCTAAACACTACTAAGGAAAGTCCATAAGGAACCTATAATTATAAATCTACAAAATTATTCCACGAATAAAATATACTAGAGGATGTATGTAATTCACTGTGTGTTTATTCTATAATGGACCATCCCTTTCTTGTCTGTTGGTGTCATAAGAGACGATTAAAAGAACTTAATTGTCGAGGGATAGGCAGCAGCGTCCCTCTTAAAACATCATTGTAGTTTTCAACTCGCCTGCTAAGCATGGTAACTTGTGGTGAACCCCTCCCCACCTTAAGGGGGAAGCCTATGTTCAGTTCATACTAGAGGGAAACTCTGTACAAAAGTGGCCTGCCTGGGTGACTTTGTCTGTTTGATGTTCCTTGCGTGAAATAAATGTACTTGGATGATTATATTTCGGTTTGAAGGGCAGGATCCAACAGTGAAATTACAGAGTATGGAAGTATAACATCATGGTCCTCAGATATGATAATGCATGAGAGGTATTATAGGCATCAGAGTGTATTCCGTGATATTTATGATATTAATGTCCGTCGCCTAAAGGACGGTTGTCACTTTACATCAGGTGGGCTGCAGCTTATTTACCAATCTAAGTATAAATTAATTTTACTTATACAAATTGTTAACTGATCATTTTCTCGAAAAAATTTTGACTGTACACAAAATCATCGTCATAATAAGATCATTAACAGAGACATTCACTGTTCATTTTTTGTTGTTTTGCTTCTACTCCACGCCATTCTCTTTGGAAACGTCGTAATTAATTCCCGACAGCGTAGACTGGTTTACCATTTTATTTCCATCCCTCAAAAAAATAATAATAACCGGGCCAATCATTCCTCAATATACTTATACAGCATGACATTCGAAACATATAGTAATTTTGCGACTTGAAAAGTCTACCCGATCAATCAAAACGGTCAGTCATCCAGAATAATATTCGAGTTGCGCCGACCGATACTTATAACTTTTATAATATCAGATATATGCCCTGGTCAACTGAGATGGAAGATTGATGAATCGGCAATGATTTATCGTGATTCATTCGTGTCAGACCTAGTGTCAATCAGGGCCGCGAGTATATTATATCACCCGTGAAATTTATGCTATTCATGCTTCAAATGTTCCGGAGTAGGGCACCTGTCCCAGTAATAAATGTAGCTGTGATTGATACTTCAGTTTTAGAAGGACTTCTGAGTACTAAATATGAATAATATACTCTTTTTTACTATTTACTATCTACTCTATTCAAAAATGTAGAGTAGAATCGTCAAGACAATTCTGTACTTTGTAGTGCAAAGCATATTTCTTTGCGCAAATGAGATCTTATTTTTAATTTTGACAGGATCAATTTAGGAATTAAACTTTTCTAAATTGGTTTGGATTTACTTTATTATAGGAATCATTACGTGTATGAACATGTGCAAATTAGTTTGAGAATCGGGCAATTGGTGTGATAATTACATGCTCATATTGTGTACTTTCAGATTATGTATACATATATACAGAGCATTTCATAGTTATTTAGAATATGATGCTGTTCTGTGTTGAGGTTATTTCACAGACCATTCGTTCGGCATCCTATTTCAGCTAATTGGTTGATAAGCAAGCAGGGCGAGAGTGGTTATGAACAAATTTATTCGGGTCATTTACCCTTTGACGAGAATTATTCTACGGTTATTAATTTTTCCGGAGATTTAAATAGGTTTAAGCTCGTACTTTTAATTGGTAGCTTTTTGTGAAGTATGTGGCAGATTTATTCAAGAATAGTACCTTACGATATATCGTATCATAATAGCGCTCTGCGATTGGTTGCAAGTTGCAAGTAGGAAATACTTTACTCTCTAACTTTAAATTTCTCATGTCACAATTTTTGATTAATACATTTGTATGTTATGTTTAGCATTGATTATACTAATTTATTTTTTGTCAATATTTTCAGGTCCCCACCGTGAGATGGCGGTGGACGTTCCGGACAGCTTCATCGCGAGGAATAAAACACCCCCTCGCTACCCACCACCTCGACCCCCTCAGGTACGCCTTCGGGCAACCAGAGACGACGAGCCTCTTTTGTTATCTTCTGGGGGTTCAGGAACAAGCTTTGGTAGTAAACAGAGCACTGTTCTCCAGAGCACTCTAGACATATCTGGCCCCAGCTCCGACGGTTCGGGTAGTTTCAAGAATAACAGTAACATAGAGTTGCTTTCACTGCCGCAAAGTTCGGAGGGTTCAGGAACTAGCTTCGGAAGTAAGAAGAGCAAGGGATCTTCAGAAACAGCCAAATGCGGGGATTTGATATCTGAGAGATCAGAATCGGTGGCATCAAATACAACGCACAACTTAAGCGACCATAAGATCCAACTTCTCATATCTAATGGGGAGGATTCTTTACTCGACTGCAGGGAGGGGGTGACATACTCGGCGAGAACTGACTCCGTGTTAATCCGAGAGGCAGTGTACGCATCGTACAAGCTTCCTCCTGGGTTTGACACGACTCCAGTGCTTCTCGGGAGGGAGGTAGCTGTAGACGTGCCGGACACATTTGTTCAGATAGTGAAAACAACACCGAAATATCCTGGTATCGTGGACAGAAAGAGCGTGGCGTTTCAGGTAAAGGGCACCTTAATGCTATGCATGGATATCGATGATATAGGGGATTTGGTACCATCGTTTGATACGTTTTCGGTTTGATAATAAACTGACAATGTATCATTTGATGTTACTTTAACCATCAGGTGAATGTATTATCGTATTATTAACATTGGATTCATTATTGGCAAGAAGGGTATTGCTTACTAACATTATAACATATAAAATATTTTATGGATGTTCAGTGCATTGTTTGAGTACGAATGTCTCGATTCTGTACAATTAAATAAAAAATAATAATTCTGAATAACCATAAAATTATTTTATCGTTTCATTTACGATCGAAATGACCTAATTCAAACAATGACGATTTGTTCTCTTTTCATTGAATCAGCGCGTAGCGAAATGAGAACAATAACCCCATAATTTGGTTTCAATTCATGGTGTATTTACCTTATTTGCTATAGGTACCCATATGATATCCATATTTATTATGTTAGTCGTCTGTATATATTTAAAAAAGATAGTTCTAACACGCTGGGTCTCTTGTTGATTAAGTGCAGAGAATTGAGTGACTTGACAGGAGACTTATAGATAATATATCTTTTATAAATTATTGTTCAAGTTTTGAAACATATTGGAGCTATAGTAAATTCTTATTGAGGAATTTCCATATCGTGGTATGTGGGATTCAGTTTGCACCAGGAAAAATTATGTCTTTTAATGAATATTTTTCTTTTATTATTAACCATAACATTATTGCATTTTTACAAACATAAAAAGCTCCTAACCCTTATTTTAAAACTGTTTAAATCAATAGTTATTCGTTAAACATAGATTGTTCCATAAAACAATTTAAATCTCGAAACAAAACATCTGTAATTTCAACAATACTAATTATGATATTAAACATTTACGATTTTATTAATAAAAATATTTTGGATTTGGTCATTTCATCGTGGTCATTGGGCTCAAATTAACGTATTCATGCGGGGCTGTGGTGTGGTGGTAGTGATGGCTTTAAGGGATAGTTGGTGATAGATGATGTTATTAATTAACCATCCAATCATTTTAATATAAAATAATTCCTGAATGTAAATAATTTGATATTGCTCATTATAGACATTGAAAATTCATTCAAGTTTTATAAGAAATTGTATTGAAATATCAGAGATACTACATCCTTGTACGTAATTCCTTTTCCTAAAATTGAATATTTTATTATTTAATTGTATTTATTGCAATGTTTACCAAGAGATATAAACTTGATTGTTTTGATTACAATATCTTCACACTTTTTAAAATTTTAATTATTAATTATAATTTAAATTTATCTTTAGGTATTTTTACAATAAATATTAAATGCTACCAATCTTTATTAACAGTCTCAGATGTAAAATATTACTCTGAATGATAAGTTAATTCTAAAATAATCTATTATAATAATATATATTGGATAATGGAAAATCTTACAATCAATTTTGATTTGTTTGTGTAAGGGACACAATAGGAACAACAGTAGGAACTAAACATAATATTCTCATTTCACTTTGTGATAAGACTGCACTTATCTAATCAGTATATACCACAAAATTCATGCCTATTCAATATCATAACAAACAAAATATAATCATGCTCGACAAAAGGGTAGGCCATCAAGCGGATATCTTCAAAATTGTTTTATCATGATCTATCATTAATAGCATTATTACGAATCATATCATTAAATTCATTATTTATTGCCATGCTTTACGCACCGAAGCGCTCTCCTGTCCGTGGATACCAAGACGTTGATATAATCATATTATTTTATCCATTAATATTATGAGAAATGTGGATCTTAAAGCTTATGGGATTGTGGGTTAGTTATATTTTTGTGATTGAAAAAATTCGAAGCAATTGTCTCATAATATTAAGTTTCAGATCTATTTGTTCGATAACATCGTCCATAACGTTATACTGGCAACATTTGTAATGTTTGTTCACTTTGTAAAACAATTCTTAACAGTTTAAAATATTTGAAATATTATTTAAAAGTATGTACCTACTTGGTAAGTAATATATATACAATCAATAATAAAACAAGTTGAACCCTGACTATTGAGAAGTAGGCATCAAAAAAAGGTTTTCAAATATTATTACAAAATTAACATATCTAATATATGTTCTCTTATAAATCTAACATATGTTCTAATATATAATCTATTAGTAGCTATACATGGAGAGTAATTGTAACACAGTTATAATCAGAAATAAGGATTTTAATTAATTGTAGTACTACCTTTTTTAGTTCATTAGCTTTTACCCGCGAACTTGTATGAAAGAAATATGTTCACTGTCAGTGACAAAAAGTATCTTATATGTAATGTGTATATCAAATTTCATACAGTAAGGTTAAGCCATTAAGGAATCAAGAAGTACCAAACAAACAAACTTACTTTTACGTTTTCGTATTATATTATCTGTGATATTAGTTAGGTTCTATAATTGTGTAAAATCATTTTAACTAAGTTACAAATGTTGCCAGTGTTATGCTAAAAATTTTCTCAAGCTGCTGCTGCGACTACCTATATACATTAGCTACGAATTTCTTAAATCACATTTGAGCCACTTGATGTCTCTCCAGAATGTTTTGGGATTATTAATAAATTTGGCGTATGTAAAATTGTATGAATAATACTTATGTTATTTGGCTGTTTTTGAAAATTATCGCTTTGGAATGACTTTAATATTGGGATATTTGGATAAAGCTTAGTTGTATTTACATTTTTATACATGTATATAACTAGTTAATATTGAATGTATATCAATTATTATTAAAAGATATTGTCGTATATTTAAATTAGAGATTTTATGTGATTATGCCAGTTTTTTTTTATGGATGATGATGGAATGATACACCTACCTATGTTAAGAGTAACAATGACTGGGTAACGTGAAGAAACATTTATGTCTATAATTCTTCCATATTAATTGTATAAAAGGACTTTATTTTATTATATTATATAATATTTGATCAAGAGATATTAACATTTATATAAGATTTTGTTTCATGAAAAAAAACGCCAATTTCAATTATAGCTAAACTAGTTATTTGGATTTAAAAACTAAAATACTGAACCGATTTTGATAAAATTTCAACGAGACCAATCTAAAAGTATATCCCTTTAGTTAAAAAATTCAAAATCAGTTTATAAACGACCGAGTTCTTTGTTTTCATAAAAGTTTTCATAAAAAATACAATTGAATCAAGAACTTACTCCTTTTTTATAGTCGGTTGAAAGGGATTTTCTTACTGATTTGACGAAAGAATAGCTAGTCCTATAGGTATTTAAAAAAATGTTAATACAATAATTAAGCTACGTGCTTCGGAGTGTATGTAAAGTTGTCGTCTTTAAGTAAGATTAGTGTTGATGTCACACTAGAGGGACCTAACTACCTTCACACATCTACGAGTATGAATTGATGTCACAATATTATATTTTTTTTATATGTATAATTATGTACATTAGCTACGAATTTCTTAAATCACATTTGAGCTACTGGATGTCTCTCCAGAATGTTATGGGATTATATATTATAAGTATATAACTAATTTCTCTTCTATTTTTATGTGTTTTAAAAGGAGAAATTTCTCAATTCATCTAATTCTTTTATATTTATGATAATGTATAATATTTATTATAGTAATGTGTTTTAATATATATAGCAAAAAAATAAACATAAAATTTTTTGAAAGTGATTTTAACAGGCTGTATTTCATGAAAAATAAGTAAAATTTAAAAAAAAGTCGTGAAAACTCTAGTTTTCAGATTTTTTGTGAAAAAATTTTTGAGCTCCGGTTTCCATGCAATTTTAAACAAAGCTGAAAATAATTTTTTTCTAAATTTTTAGGTTTTGTTTTTCACTCTATGGGCATGGAAAATTTTTTTGTTCTATTGTATAGGTCTCTTAGTGTGTTTATTAAAACATCAAAAATCGCTTTGGATGGCTCAATTTATTTGTCTTCGAGATATCGAACTTTGAATGCAAAAATCTTTCCATTCAACTGCTTTATCTCTGGAACTACTGGTCAACAGAAGCCGAGTTTCTTTATCTGCATAAAATTTCCAATTAAGCACAGTCAAGAGTTAGTGAAGAAAAAAATTTTTTTTAACATTGAATTCAAAAAGTGGAAAAAATATTTTCTCCTTTTTTGGTTACTTGGCTGTATCTTCGCTAATATGGGCGGGAAAGCTAAGGTTTGAGGAAAATTTTAATATTGTTCCTTAAAGAACCCCCCAAATCCCTGGAGCGATCGGTTCAAGTTTTTCCCGGACCAATTGATTGAAATTTTTAAAAAATTGAACAAGGTTTTTGTCCCTTAAACTCACCCTAATCCATTCAAAAATCAATAATTTCATTTGTTTTTCACTTTTTACTCAATATCAAAAAAAAATCGAAAAAATCAAGAAAATTTTATGCAGATAAAGAAACTCACCTATGCTGTATAGTTCCAGAGATATTAGCAGTTGAATGGAAAAATGCATTCAAAGTTCGATATCTCGGAGACAAATGGTCGTAAACATCAACATTTTTGAAGCTGAATAAACACGCTAAGAGACCTATACAATGGAGTAGCTCGAAAAAATTTTTCCATGCCCATAGAGTGAAAAACAAAACCTAGAAAATTTAGAAAAAAATTATTTTCAGCTTTGTTCAAGAATTGCATGGAAACCGGAGCTCAAAAAATTTTTTCACCAAAAAATCTGAAAACTAGAGTTTTCAAGCTTCAAAACCCTTTTTTTAAATTTCCTGTACGATTATTTTTCACTGAAATACAGCCTGTTGAAAATCACCCAAAAATTTCAATAATTTTTATGTTCCCTTAATTTTTGCGAGGAGTGTATATAGAAGTAAAATAAACAAAAATAGAAAGTACTTATTATACGTGCACATACAGTAAAATAAAAAAAAGTCGTAAACTACTTTGGGAGCAATATTTGGCGCTATTTAGCGCTTGACTTTGATTAAATGTTCAGTTAAGGTTCCGGTTTGGAGTTAAAACATAAAAGGGATATTTATTTAGTCACTTTTAGTTTAAATCTATTATTACACATTTTAGTCTAATACAATAGATTAGCATTTAATCACAATAATATATTACATTACATACAATACTATTTTTATGAATTCACACAGAGGGTATAAAAATATATTATATGTTTTAGCTATTTAAAAATTGCGTCAAAATATTGGAAAAATTACGAAGATAAGCTAGATAGAAAAATTTTAATAAATTGAATTTTCTAAGTAGCTTACGGAGCTTTTTTGTTTTTACTTTTGTTACGGCATTTATGTTACGATGTGTCACCTATAATATGTTAATAAATGTCAAATAATATAAGAAATAGTCAGTAACTCTAAACTCAACATTGTATTTTAAGGAATTGCTTAAAGTGTGAAGAAGTTAGGAAATATACTAAATATGAATTTGGACGAACGAAAACAACGTTATACGACTGACAGCTATTTAGGTAGTTTTTTTGTTATTAAAAATTCAAAAGTCATTTATATAAAAAAATCATTTTTTATACATAGCCAATTATATTTAGATTTCATAGAATAGCAGATATTCTTTATTTATTTATTTATATTTTTTATTAAAGAAAAACCAACAGCTAATAAATTACATAATTCACAAATAAAAACAAGATTTAACTAATGCTATGTGCATTAGTTAAATCTAATGCTTACAATCAGCTAAATCAAACTTATAGTAACAACACAATATAGTAGTACACACATTATATGTAGGCAGTTATACAACATAAAAAGTTGAAATCACACGTTTAAGATTCTTAAATTCACAATTAAGAGGACTATTACGAAATGAAAATTTTCAATCTTTGAATCGGCGTATTGAGTTGCGCAGCGAAATTTATGCAATTTATATATTTTTTTTTATTATATTAGTCCACAAACATATTAATATTATTGTTATGTATTTTTTATGCAAACACCTTGTTGAGAAAATTTGAAATGATTTCGGCAAGATTTGATAAAATGGGTTAATTTTTTCATAAACGTTCGTTCGTTCGTTCGTTCATCGTTTTTTTAATAGACGGCTTCGGAAATAAGAAAGAAGTTAGTACATAAGTTTTTTATATAAGAAATCCATCTACACAATTCTAAAATCAAAATATATACCAAACTCTTACGAGTAATTGCTTGGAACCAGAACTCCAGAAACTCCGTTTATTTGTTGCTTTATGCAGATAAATGTGAAAGGGTTCTTAAATCTGTTCCTAAAAGTTTTTAAAGATTATTATTTTGTGTCTAAAATAGTCAAGGGATCGACAAAAATAAATATAATTTTCATATTTTTAAAAGGGGTTTTAATCGGAAAAGTATAATTTAAGAATAATAGCATTCGTTTTGTAAATTATATTTAGTACCTATTTACGATTTTAAGTTCGTATATAATAAAAATTATCATTGCTATTAGGTACAAATTAACTATACACTTATATAATGGAGGAAATATTTGTATTTTAAATCGATTTCAAAAAGAAGAGGTTCTCAATTCGATTGTATTTTTAAAACTTATTAATTTTTTTATACGTTGTCTATATATACGTATAACAGGAATTTATCTTAAATTTGATTTAAATTTCCTTTATATATGCACATCATAGACATCGGTTATATTCTTTTTTATGTTTTTGACCTCCATCAGTCGTTAACTGATTTGGAAAGTTCTTTTTTTATATGAAAGAATATACTTACACATTGATCCTATAGAAATTTTATCAAAATCGATTCAGTGGGTTGGTTTTTAAAACAAAATAACTGGTTTTGCCACAATTGAAGTTTTGACAATGAACTTTAAGATTATTGAAATTATTTCATTCTATACTATTTCGATGCGTAATAGACTTTATTAAAACATTTTGCTTCGTAAAACAACAGTGATCGCAACAGTATCAAAATTAATATTATGTAGTAATTTATTACTCTCAATCTTACTTCAAAACAAATAAAATGTACCGATAAACGACACATTGGTTTGTAGGCATTAGATATTTAAATTTAGAACTCAAAATTGTATGGTTACAAGTAAAGGTTGCTATGAAAAAACTTCGACATCAATTGTTAGTTAAGTGAACCTATTAATTGGAACTAGATTTTTTTTTTATTTATTAAAAGGTATACACAACAGGTTACAATCAATAACATTATAAACATTTATATAAAGATAATAGTTTGAACTAGATTGAGACCCAGACAGGTGTAAACACAGCATGGTTAAAGCAGTCGGCAAACAATGTTAAATTATAAATCATATAAAGAAAGCATATGAATGTGGTAAATAACAATGAAGTACATGCAAATAATAAAAATACATAAAAATATGGACCTGTCAAAGAGACTTGATGGCTGATTGTAAAATGTTTTTAAAGGTATTTAGACGTGAGTTGAAGATACCAATTTGAGGACATTTAGATGAAAATTCATTATTGAATTGTTAAATTCATTATTGAATATAGAATTGTTGAAATCTGTTCTAAATTGGTGAATATATATTGTTATAAAAATAAATAAATAAAGACGAAATAATAAACTTTTTTGCTTTCAATTCAAATTAAATAATTTTGTCTAATTCTCAAATTAAATTATTATGTGATTTGAGACATAAATTTAAAATACAACTCAAAACAAATAAGCCTTTATACAAGAAATCGATTGTATGAATAAGATAAGGTTTTCCTAATTATCAGATGGGGATTATTATAAGAGAGCTACGGATACCTCATTTACAGAAAGCATTGCCAATCTCCTCAGCTATGATGTTTCAATCGTCTATCGATCAATCGAAGCCAATTTTCCGATCCATCTATAAAACATTAGATCAATGTCAAAACTTATTATTGTTCAAGAGTAATATATACAGAGTGGAAACAATATGTTATCCTACGCGATTATTTTCGGAGTTCAATGACATGGAAAATGAATTGTTTTATGAACATTATGTATAATGACATCACATCACAGAGAATTTACTGAATAAGTCCAATATTTCTAAAGTATTACGCTATCGTTAATTTTAAACAATACTTATCAATTGGAAAAGTAATTTTATGTCGCAAATATGTAAGAACACATAAAGTAGGTAGGAAAAGTAATATAAATAATTTAAATAGATAAATTGACGTCTTTTTATGTTTCTGAATATTAATTTTTTGTACCTACCTATAATATTCAATTTTATAAACTGATGTATATATTGTTATTATATATATTTATATATTTTATTTATATATTTTTTTATTTATTAAGATCATACGTAGATTCACAATTAGTAATACTTTTGCATGACTTAGTACTATTACTGCTACCACTAAATACCGATCTACAGGCATTTTTGTTGGCTATATACTTTGTTTATTTTTTTGTAGTATATTTCTCAATTTCTTTAAGAATTTTAAATTAGTAGTACAAGTATTTTAAATAATGCCCTATAATCCATTAAGAAAAAATAGGTGTGTAATTCAAAAAAATTATAACAGTTTTGTATTATATAAGTTAATAATTTCATACTAACAACTTAGAAAGTAGGTACCTTCCTCTTATTTGTATTTATACTGTTGCGTATTCTATAATAAGTACTTACCAATAAAATTGTATTTTTTCTAGAAAATTAGAGTAGTATTATATAGATTAACATAGTTATAAAAGATATTTAGGAATATTATTATCTCATACGTATATTAAATCTTTTATTCAATATGTTAATAAATACGAAATCGCATGCTGTTATGGGAAATTACAAGTAAAAATGGCTTGTACAATTAATAACGAAAAAAATAATCTAATTCTGTTTAAAGGGATAAACTGTAATTTGATAAGTGTATATTCAGTTAGTTAGTAGCTCAACATATAGCATAATAATTTGTACAAGGAAATTGTCAAAATTTTATATTAAAAGCATTTAAATTCCAAGTAAGAAAACCTTGAATTCGCCACTTGAGCTATATGTATACACATGTATAAAATACATAAAATTTGTTACAAGTACACAAATTAATGGCTAAAATGAATGATGATATAAAGGTTTGAGCATATGAGTATTTTAAACATATTATATTATATGAATTGTTACTGTAATATTATTAAATACATAGTTATATAATTTATGTTATTAAGTCTTAATTAGAGTCCTCAAGCACTATTCAATATGTAGTTACTATGGACGGAAGAAGTAGGTATCTAATATTATTATTTTAATATTTAGCAGGTAAATGGCACTGCGAAGACCACAGCTCCAGCTGTACCACCAAGGGAAGTGTCACGAGACGCGCCTCCGCGACCCCCCGCCCACGACAATGTGGTCGCCACCAAGGAGCAAATGGATTCCATAAAGAAATATCAAGTAAGTGGCACTTTAGAATTGTTTTGGTACTTTTCTGTGTATTATAAAAAAAAAAAACTGGCTCAATTTTCAGATTTTTTAGGTTCCTTTTCTTATCTATTTTAATGTTAAAATAAATTAACATCACAACTATTCAATCTGTAGACATATACATGACATTTATAGTTTTATTTAGAGTTGAAATCGAAATAAATATTTTTTGAACAAATTTAATACTTTTCGAATATGGAAAACTGATAGCCTTGTATTATACATATATCATTGATAATTTTGTTACAACTACATAAACATGTAGGTACCATATTGGTCTCTTTTTGTTCATAATCATTAACCATGTTATACCATTGTTAGCCATTTCCCGTCATACTTGTATTTCGTCAATGGCGGATTCCTGTACTAGTGAATTAGGTTTTTATAAAGTACAACAAATTTTTACTGTTAACCTATTGTTAAGTGAATCAATTTTGGAAAAAACATTCTTAACTACCGTTTGGTGATTAGTGTAAGGCTTTTAACGTGAACATGGGTGCTACGAAACTTTGCTTTCGAAGCCAATTTTTTAAGGTAAGTGCTTTTAGTTTAGTGTTACGTAAAATTCCTTTCTACGCTCACAATTATTTTATTTGACAAGATATATATAATGATATATTAATATATAAATCTTGTATATGATATATTAAGATTATTTTATTTTAATTACACTATTAAATTGCCTGATCCTGAAGTTAGGATACTCTATGTTATATGAAACCGGAGAACAAACATATCAGGCACACCTCAGAACCTCAGACGTTTTTAGGTAGTAATTTTTTCAGTGTTTCTATTATACGATTAGGTTATTAATTCTGAATCAATTTTCACAATTCTATTTGAAATCTAAAGCTAACATCAGTATTGCTTCTATATTAATTTTATGACGTTTAAAGCTGTCGTTTATATTTACAGAACAAAAAAAAACTATAACAAAAAAAAATTACTTGTAAACTGTACTAATTTTCATTTTAAATTAAAATTCAATTTGTCTACGAAACATCCCATCCTATCGACCATCAGCGTGTTGTATTACATCTTTTTGAAAAGCGAGATGTGTCTACTTATTACCGATTAATTTAATTAGAAATATAATTATTTTTTTTAGCATTTGCGTGATAATTATTGTTTAAATAAACACGTAATAAATGGAACAGGTAAACGTTCATTTCGAGTGTTACATTTATTTATAAACGTCCGTCAGTTTCTATATCAATCATGTCAAGTATGGAAAGTGGGCGTATTATGCATGTAAATATATGATATGTATATACCTACCAGACGTGTACGGATGACTGTCATTTTTCCAACATCCCGTCTAAAGTAAGATGTTACAAAAATATCTACGAATATATTAATAAAACTTATGCCTAAAAAAATTTGTGTTCCTTTGGTTCCGTTTTTATGTAAAAAAAAAAAAAAATTTGTATCCTCTGTCGATGATCCATTTATACAATCATAAAATATGGCTTAATCGTACTTATTAAATGCGGATTAGTAACTATAAAGCCAAGGTATGTATTACCAATATTTTTTATTCGATTCAGATATAGCTATTCGGAATACGTACTACTGTTATACTACTGTCTCATAACATCATCGTTAATGAAGTTACTAAGCACTTTAAATCTACGAATTGTACTTTTTGCACCTTATTATTATCATCACTTCTGTCTTTGACTTGATCTAGGAAAACATGACTTAACATAGCCATAACAAATATATTTTGCTGGGAGGGGGGAAAGGATTGTTAGTAATGCGGACTATCAGTCCCATTACTAGCAATATACCCTATCAGGTCGGCAGGTCGACCACGTGGTCCCCCCTGGAAACTATCGTGCTGAATTCCAAGTGTATTAATCACGATAGGCTAACTGACCTGTCCTTTCATCTTCACTTATCACCCCTCACTGGTGCCCCGCCAGCGTATATCGTTAGCGCAGGTGAAGGTGCCACTTCATTATCATCCATTTAAAAAAAAGAATATATTTTGTTCTGTAGACATACATCGATGAGTAATTGAATTTAGAATGCCAAATCACATGTATATAAGTAAATTTTGACCTATCATCAATACATCGTTTACCCAACTTTTCTATTCCTTATTTCAAATTCCATTATCCAAAACACCCTTTACAAAAAATTTACTTTCCTAAATTTTATTTTTAGCATATGTACTGTATGCCGTGCCATAATGACAGAAAAAAAAGTAAATTTTACTTCACCACAGTTTTTTGCTCCACAACGCGAAGAGTAAATCCTAACTAATATTGTGAAAATACGTTCAAAATCGACGTACTCGTGAAACAACCACAAAAAATTTAAATGAATTGAGACGATTCTCCTTTTGGTAATCATTTATAAAAGTATTTATTTATCAAATATGATTTAAATCCATACATCCGAAATAAATCATCTAAACATGCAATGTAAATTGAGAATGAAAACTAAAAAAGTCTGGCAAAATGTTACCAAATATATAAATTTCCCGTCTTTTTTTATAATTTTAATTTGAAGGAAACAAAATATAACGAATACAATTAAATGAAATTTAAAATTTTACGGGTAAACGATAACGATCCAGATAAAAAGGACTTCCATTGTTGTCTCATCTTACCGAATTTGAACAAGAAAATCAATTGAATATCATATTCATATTATATAATTTAAATACCAAATGTATTATAAAAATAAATAATATACATCCAATATATAAATATTAATTATTTATTTATACTTCAGAAATAATATAATAATTCCAAAGCTAAGTTTCAATTTATAAAAAAATCTGTCTTGGTTAGGTACGGAATTAAGCCGATGTTTCATTTGAAACATTACCTTACATTATTTATATTTTAACCCTCTAGGCATTGGCTTAGGCTACTACATAATACTACCACAATTTTGGCTATAAAGCCTAGTGGTTTTAAATATGTATTTATTTTCCCGCTCGATATATACAATACGAGAGCTTTAAATATCATACATCGTTATTTTTCTTATTGTATTTGTTTATATATATAAATAAGCTTTCAAGCATTCCTTCTTCAAAATTCTTTCTTACATTTAAAAGCGCCATTCGGTTTCGGTAAATTTATGACATTATTTTTTGTCGAGTTTTTTTGAGAACTTTTTCAATGTTCTCTTCTTTTGGCAAAATAATAAAAATAATTTATCAGGCATTATAAATCCCAATAAAAAAAAATATCTTCAGGTTATTAATTAAACAAGACAAGTAAAGAAACAACATTTGCTATATTACTCTCAGAATAATCTCCAAATCTCTAGATGAAGGCAATGACTACCAATCTAAAATATAGGACAAGTCCATTCTAATATTAAATTTTGTAATTTCCAACTCCAAACTCTTGCTTCGCCTGGACTCTTATTAATTACCCTGATGTTTCTAATTTCTAACCCTTCTGGGCGAGTTTGTAATCTTATTTTATCCTACATAGCGTAACTTAGTTAATAATTATATGTATCTATATTGTAGACAGTGTAATGAACCCTTATTTGCTTAAATTATTGCGGTTAGCTGTCCTTGAAATATTTATACCATTATAATTCACAAATATAAATAAGTAAAGAAAAAAAAACATAACAGATACCTATAATTTTTTTTTTTCTAGCACCCAGTTTCATAGGTATATTTTACAAACATTTTCTTTCATACAAACCTTGTATTGATAATTACAAATAAAAAAAGAATTAGCCAAAAGGGAACAGTCGTTCTGAAGTGATGCTCTTACATACGTTCCGTAATTGATTTCTTTTTTCTGCAGATATGTTTTATTAAGGATACTATTTTATTTAATGTTAATAAAGTTATAATTATAGAGCAAATAATCATTAAATATTTAAGAATCATTTAAGAGTCATGATAATGAATATGAATCTGAAAACGGTAACACAGGAAATAGAAATATTCAGCAAAATTGACATCCAAACAGCATATTGGATTATTGTTTTATAGAGAACAGATTGCCAATGAACAGATTAGAAAAAGAAAAATGAAATTGAGACTCGAAGTTGTTCTTATATTGATGACTCGAAAATGAATCTATGCAATCACCAAAAAATAATAACACAATAAAGTAAATGAGTATTGTGTTGTACAATCATTTAATGCAAAGACGTTAAAATCTAATTTCTATATAGTATAAAAATTTAAACTTAAATAAACTGGTTTCATAAATTTCATACTATCGTTTTTCTTTTATTCGAACTGATGTGGCCCTTGTTATAAAAAAATAATATTTCGAATATTGTTTTATACAAAAAACTTTTTTTGCAATTTTAAATAAGTTTAAGGAATTTACCTAAAATGCTTAAGCTTCAAAACATTCAGAAGCTTCTCCTTTGAGAGACGGCTAAGTAGACGTCATTGCTACAACAAATTTCCTGTGCTTTATCTTCGTACGATGCCCTAGAATGTAGACGTAAAATAACAAACGCCAAAACAAAGAGCAGGTAAGTAAACCTTTGTCACATTATATTTCTAGGAATTCTCTGTAATGCTTTTTTAGAAAATAACTGGTTTAGATCTCGTTTGTATAATGTTAAGGATCTCAAACGCCGCAAGTTTCACAAACACTCCCATTATAAAAACATACAGTATTTGAACATTGCCGTGCTTGTGTGCTTACGCATAGGAGTTTGATGTAAACAATTATTATAAAAAAATTGCCTGTGTTACCGGTGGAACATTTTCGTGCGAATACTGTGTCGATTTTAGATACCTAAAATCTAATTCTTATGCTCAAAACATATTTCTTTAAAAACTGAAATCAAAAATTGATATAAATTACTGTTTTTGATATAAGAGTCAAGGCATTGGTATTCCTTCTATGTGCTCCCACCTTAGTGGTTGTTATACCTCTGTTGCCAACTTAAATTTAAATTATTTATTGACGTATGCATATTGCATATAGCATTAAACTCGTGTAGCCCCGGCATAGAATAGACCA